AGAAAACAGATTTTGGAGGCTTGCAGATTAAATTTGCTCAGTATGTACTCAATTTATTTCTTGACTAATCAAAAGTACAAACCACAATGATTTGTTCTTTTCCTGATTTCATTTTAACTTTGCCTATAATTTACATTTTATTCTTGTCATTTTATCTAACATTTCTTTTTATATGCAGCATTTCCCCAGACTCCATGTTTTGTTCTTGTTTACAAAGATTTTGTTAAAAAAAAAAAAGACAGACATCCAACAGTACTTTTTAACTTTATTATAAATAAAAGAATGTGTAGTTTGTTGAATTTAGAGCACATTGTGAGCTGAGCAGGATGTATTTGTAAATTTGAGCCTTTCTAGAATGTAACTTGGGTGTGTACGATAATTTTCCTGAAAATACGATAATTTTGAGCTGCTGATACGATAATTCAACATTTCCCACCTGGCAACACTGATCAGTAGTATTGCTCGCGGACATATGGCTTAGCTGAAGCATTCTATCAGGTTTTCAGGAGGAGGTTGACGTGTGCAAGTACTATTGACAAACAGAGACTGAGACGATGGATACAAAAAGTAAGTGATTTTATTTACACAGGTGCTGGGATTTGGGGACGGGACCTGAAACAGAGTTTTTGCAGAGGTGAGAAATAGGCTGATTTTCCAGTGTTGGTTTTTAGCAGGTAAGTAGTTGAAGAGGTGGCTTACGGGTTGGAGAAGGAGATGAGACTTGGAGGAGGAGGTCCAACAGGTGAAGTTCCACAGGTGAGCATTTACAGGTGCAGATTTATTTACAGTGTTACGTGGGAGGCAGTGCATGAGATCCTGGTGAGTTGGCTCAGGTTCCAAGGCAGGAGGTAAACGTGCTGGAGGTCGCTTCTGAAAACAGGTAGGTAACAGGTACACAGGTAAGATAATTTCTCATGAAGACAACAAATAGCAGGCTGAGCTCATACCAAACAGAGGCAATGCTTGAGCGATGAGATGAACTCCAGCACTGCCTTATAAAGCCTGGAGGTGATGAGCCAAACTCTGTGCAGGTGTGGGTGATTAGCGCAGTGCCCAGTCCAGGAGGCAGGGGGTGAGAACACCAAAATGCCTCGACTATTTTCTCAAGAATTTTTGAGATGAATGGGAGATTAGATATAGGTCTGTAGTTAGCCAGAACTCCTGAATCAAGATCAGGTTTCTTAAGTAAAAGTTTAATTACAACAACCTCTGTGGAAATTAACCATTCATTAGAGACAAATTATGTACATCTAAAATATGGATATTAATTAGGGAAATGCTTCTTTGAACAGTCTGGTTGGGATTGGATCTAGCAGACATGTTGATGGTTTGGATGAAGCTATTATTTTAGATAATTCAGAGAGCTCAACACGACACAAACTGTCCAGACCTAAATCAGGTTCTAGTGACACTAAAACGGCCTCATCTGACAGAGAATCAGCGGCAATAGCAGGAAGTTTGACATGAATTTTATCCCTTATTAAAATTATTTTGTCTATAAAGAATCTCATAAAGTCATCACTACTTAAACTTATGTAGGGATACATGGTTCAACAGAGATAGGACTTTTCATTAGTCTAGCTACAGTACTGAAAAGAAACCTGTTTTTATTTTTCTTCTATTAAGGATGAATAATATACAGTTCTAGCTTTATGAAGGGCATTCTTATATGTTAGCCGGCCTCGTGACCATAGGTGAGGGTTGGAACAAAAGAGAGACCAGTAAAACGAGAGCATTG